AGGGACCTGCGGCCGCCCCCCTCCCTCCGGGGCTTGACTCTGACGCCCTCCCCAGCACGCCTCCCTTCCAGGGAGGGTTTTGGCTTCTCATTGGAGGTAGAAACTGCCCCGGGACCCCGTGTTCCCCCCACGGCTGAGACGTTACAGTGAAGCGACAGCTGACTTCACCAAGGGCAGGCCTGCGGGTGGGCCGGGCGAGGCCGCAGCGGATGAGCCTGTTCTCCTAGCACCAAACGGGCACCGCCTGTGGGTGCGCCTCCGAGGCAGCTCCGGAACCCAGCGCCCAGGCTTCTGGGGGCACAGACCACACTGCAGGCTCGAGGGGGGTTCAGCTCAGGCACAGGGTTTGCACAGCAGCCCTTCCTCTGAGAGAAAGGGGAGGCCCCCGGCCCCAGAGCCCCCACGGGCGTGTGTGAGCACAGGCCTCGGCCACAGCTCCTCCTCCCGCTGCCTCGATGGCACCTCCAAGTTCCCTCCCTTCCCCGTTCTCCCGCCCCTCACTGCCGCCTGCTGTCCCCTTACCCGTGAGTGGGTCTGTGAGGCCAGCCCGGTCACCTGGCTGGGGCTGGGGTGCAGGGGTCACCAGGTCGGCCACTTTGCAACACTCTGCTGGCCTCCAGACCCAGCTGAGCAGCGGCCTCCCTGGTGTCTGATCCTGCAGACCAGGGGCCCGGTCCGTGGTGGCTGCAGCCTGTTCGCTGGCACCCCCAGGCCGTGTTCCGTGGGCCCAGCCGTGGCCTCTGCGCTTGGAGCCTGAGCTGCCTGCCCCCGGCGGGTCCTGCTCTTCAGCCGCTTCCCCCAGCCGGGCCCTCCGGGTGCCCCCTGCTGGTCGGGCATTGCCCTGGGCCGGGGTCAGGCGTGCTGTCTCGTCCTGAGTCCCCCACGACCCTTCCTCAGGGGCCTCCTTTCCCGGCGCTGCCTCCCTGCCCCCCTCCCCAGCCGCAGCCCCACCCGACACCGTTCCCATCAGCCCTGGGCGGCTGGTTCTTGCTTCTGGGTCGATTTCTTTGGCTTGTGAGTCACTCAGAAGCACGTGTAACTGTAGCCGAGGGCCCGGGGGGTGGGACACCGCTGTTCCATGGTTGGGCCCAAAGATGGAGCTGGGGGACCCCCATCACCGTCTTCACAGAAGCCCCCTAGAGTGAAGGGCATGCACCCCGCCCGGCGGCCTCGAGGTTCGGTTCAGGGGCGGCCGGGGCACACAGCAGGGCTGCCTTTTGCAGCCGTAACTCGGGGCCCACGACCAAACCCGCTGGGTGGCCAGGGTCGTCCGTTAGCTTCTGTCGGGGTCTCCATCACGGGCGCTGGGAGCAGCCCACGAAGGCCCGGCCTCTGTCCCGGGAGCACCCCCTCCTGTGCCCCTGGGGTCCTCCTGCCGGGCCCCTTCGAGGGGGGTGGGGGTTCCTAGAGAAACCTGGAGCCCTGCCCAGGAACGAGCCAACAGGTGCTGCCAGCTCCAACCTGCCCCCAGGTGCTGCCCATCCCGCCGCCAGCCATTTCGGCCCCTCAGCCCATCCCGGCAGCTTCCTGCCCACAGGTCACCTGGCAGGTAGGTGCGCCCAAGTCAGTGTGATGGGGTGGCCTCGGGAACCCTCGGGGGTGGGAGGTGACCCTAGAACCAGGGCCTCTCCCACTGCACAGCCGGCCCCTGCCGGGTCCCAGGGCCACAGGGGAGGGCGCCGGGCAGGAGCCACCAGGCCCCTGAGCCCCGCCCGCTGCCCCGCAGACCCTTTCAGCAGACCAAGCACCTTTGGGGGCCTGGGGAGCCTGGGCAGCGCCGCCTTCGGAGGCCTGGGCAGCCACACACTGAGTGAGTGACCTGCCCACACGCGTGTCCTCCCCCCCCCCTCTGGGGGCTTCCCCACGGGGCCTGGGCTGCACCCCCTCACTGTCCTTAACCCCTGGCGACACAGCTGGGGTCCGGCAGCCCTGCGTGGGGGTCAGTCCCCTGGCCTCACATCCCCCAAACCCCCAGCTGCAGGCAGCAGCCTCTTTGCCCCCAAGGAGGGCTCCGCACTGCACGGCCTGCCCAGCCCCCAGGAGGCCTGGAGCCGGCTGCACCGGGCACCCCCGTCCTTCCCCACACCGCCCCCCTGGCCCAAGCCTGTGGACACGGAGCGGGTCTCAGCCCTGACCAACCACGACCGAGAGCCGGACAAGGGCCGGGAGGCTCGGGAGCGGTGAGTGGGCCCCTGGAGACCTCCCTCCCCCAGGGGCTGAAGCTGGACCCTCAGAGCAGGGAGGACCCCTCATGGGATCTGGCAGGAGCCGTGGGGGCATCTTTCCAGAGGAGGGGGCAGCAGGGAGGGGGCCTCTGGGGAAGCCGGGGTCCGCGGGGCAGGGCAGCCCTGGCTCTGGAGGGACCGGGGAGCTGCCACCTCACCCAGGTGCTGAGCCACCAGGGCTGGGGGGAACCTGAGAGGCCCCTGGCTGGGGTGGGAGGAGCAGCAGAGGAACCCCAGGGTCCTGCAGGGGTTGTGGGCGGGAGAGAAGGGCTCCCGCAGGCCCCTCCGCCCAGGCCCCCTCCCCACGTTCCCCAGAACCTCCTATGGGTCTTCTCACCACTGGGTCGGGGCGGCAGGCGCTGGGCCGAGGTGGGGGTGGTGGCGGGCAGCTCGCTTTGGGGGAGAAGTCTGTCTGCCCGGCCACTGAGGGGTGTCTGTCACTCCAGGGACCTCCTGCTTCGGGGTCCGGCCGAACCGCGGGTAAAGGAGAGCCGCTCCCCGGCCAGGGAGGCCCCCGCGGCCGCGCGCCCGCAGTCCCCCTGCAGCAAGGGGGCCCCCAGCGACCGCCTGCGCCCGGCCGGCCTCCTGTGCCCCGGAAAGCCGCCCGAGGGCGACGTGAAGGTCAAGGAGGAGCGCGGGGAGGACGGCGTAACCCCCGAGCCCCCGGGCCTGCACCGCGTGCGCCTGGGCTTCGCGTGGGAGCCGCCGCGCGACACCTACCGCGGCCTGGAGCTGCCCCGCCGCGCCCCGCCCGCTGGCCCCGCCCCGGGCCCCGCCGCCCTCGAGCCCGCCGAGCGCCTCTACCGCGACCGCGAGCCCCACGACTACAGCCCCGAGCGCCTGCGGGCCGCGCACCTGGGCGCCTCCCCGCACCTGCCCGCCTCCGCGCACCTGCCCGCCCCCGCGCACCTGGGCGCCCTGCACTACCCGCGCCTCGGGCCCGCGCTGCACAACGGACTCCTGGCGCGGACCCCGCCGGCCACCGCTGCCCTCGGCGCGCCGCCCCCGCTAGTGGCCGCGGGCGGGGCCCCCACGTCCCCCGGGCCCCCCAGGAGCAGGACTACGCCTCTCGGCGAGGCGCCCGACTTCTCTCCGTCGAGAAACCCACCGGAGGTGGAGGCGCGGTAGCTGCGGGTGCCGCCTGGAGCGGACCCCGCCCGCCCGCCGCCCCTCCACCTGCAGGTCCGGGAACTAAGCACAGGCCCTCGGCCCGGCGGTGCCCCTGCCCCCCGCCGCCTGGGGTTCGGGGTTCCCACTGCGCCTTCCGGGGCGATCTCCTGTTTTCTGAGCCCAGATCAGGCTCTTGGAAGAAAATTCAAGTTTGTACATTTTTTTCCCCACAGGTGAGAAGCGTTTATAATAGATTTGTATTTTTTTCAATTTTGTGCTCTTTAGACATTTAAAAGGAAAAAAAGTTTTGCTTTTTAACTTTTAGTTCCGATTTGCGGTTTAACAGCCCAGATCCTCTTCCAGAGCCCCAGCGTTCGTGGGTTTTGGTGTTTTTTGTTTTTTTCGTCTTATTTATGGAGAAAAACACGGTCATTTTGTCCAACACACTGTGAGGCCCCCTCTCAGGCTCCGCCCTGGCCCTCCCTTGGTACTTGGAACCGAAGTTACAGATGTTATATTAAAACAATAATTAATGTACACACCTGGTTTTTTGCCTTATTATGCAGAAGTGTAAGAAGATTCTTCGGTTTGTAAAGAACAAATGGAACAAATGTAAACAGTCTATTAACATACGTGACGTTATCAAATTCCGAGTCACGCACACTTTACACATGTCCCTCCAGAGCCGTGTTACTCACGGGCCACCAGCCCCGCCTGTGGGCACGGTGACCCTTCAGCTATGCCAGGGCTCGGGCGGGCAGGGGGGCAGGGGGGTGGACAGCACCCCAGCTCTGGCACCAGCGGCCAGCGCTGGCCTCTGGGACCCCTCTGTGGACAAGTCGGGTTTTAGAAGCGAAGACTCTACATCGATCATAAAACATCGACTTCTGTCTGTCTTCTCCGATGGCATCAGCCAACGCCTGTCCAGCGTTGTCCCTCAGCCCGGCCAGCACCTGGCGTGGGAGGGTCTTTTGGTCTCAGTGTTGCAATGTCCCTCCGAGAGGACCTGGGGGCACCTGAGGTCTCTGACCCGCCAAGCCCACATCGCCACCTGGTGGCCGACCTTGGGATTGCGCCGGGCCAAGAGGGTGTCGTCATTCTTCCTTTGCAGGTGAGGGGTTAATGTGTTGCCTCCCGTGAGCACCCGGACCAGGGGCTGGACTCACAACCTTCAGGTGTGTGGGACCCTGATTTCCTGTTTCCTGTACCGTCAGCGTTGTTTACAGTCTTTTCAGTTTGGGATGACGGACTTATTTTTAAATATATCTTCATTGATTATATAAAGGGAGAGGAAGAGAGAGAAACATCAGTGATGAGAGAGAATCATGTATCGGCTGCCTCCTGCACGCCCTACACTGGGGATCGAACTCCCCAACCTGGGCATGTGCCCTGACCTGGAATTGAACTGTGACCTCCTGGTTCATAGGTTGATGCTCAACCACTGAACCACACCAGCCCGGGTTCAACTGATTATTTTTACTTGCAAAGACAAGAGACACTTAAGGGTCTCTTATGGAACGCCGAGGGGAGGGCGGGTGTACGTGGGACGTGTGGCCTTTCTCTGCCAGGTCACACCTGGTCTCTGGTTCACACAACTTGGCTGCTTGGGGGTCACTGTTGCACCAGATCTGACCAGACCCTGCTTTGTCATCGTCTCCACATTTTCTACGGCTCTTCTTTGCCTTTATTGTTGGAAGAACACGGACATGACAACACCCACTTGAGCTGCATCAGTGGTTTATTGGTGGAGTCACTGAGCTGCAGGCCCCAGAAGGCGGTCGCGTGGCCGGGGGGCTCCTGCTGAGGGGCAGTCGGCGAGTCCGGGCCACCACACACAGATCCTGTGCGCGTCACTGCAGGACACAGCAGCAGTCAGAGCACAGTGTCCAGCACCGACGTCACGCCCCCTTTGCCGAGGGGCTCGGCTCGTCTGGGACAAGGACGCCGTTTGGACCATATGCCTCATTCGGCCACAATTGGGCGCATTTCTGTGGACACGTGGGGCCTGGGCGCTGGTGATGCCACATCGGGATGTGGGTGCGGGACACGGGGGTCAGCCACGCCTTTATAATCAGGCAGATGTGTGGCTCCTTCCAGCAGCACATGTCACATCAGTGCTGTCTCGTCCCCACAGCCCATCTCGGCCCCTGTGCCCGTCCGCATCCCCCCTCACCTCCTCCCACCCCCACGTGAGGTTCTGCCAGTGGAAGGCTCCTGGGGAGGGTCCGCTCAGCCTCCAGCCCAGGGTGGTGGCAGGCCCTGTCCACTGTCCCCAGGTACTCCCGGTCCCAGGCCCCGTCCTTCACCAGACGACTCAGCACTGTTCCCACTGGGCCCCGGATGGACCTGGAACCTTCCTCTGCCCAGGACCACCTCCTTCCAACACCCTGTCCAGCCCCGCCCACTCACTGGCTGCATGACACCCTGCCCACTCACTGGCTGCCCGATGCCCCGCCCATCCACTGGCTGCCCGATGCCCCGCCCACTCACTGGCTGCATGACGCCCCGCCCACTCACTGGCACTCACCGGGGGCAGGCAGTGCGCCAGGAGCCCGTTGCGGGGCACGCAGCGCGGGGGGCTGGCCTCGGTCAGGCGGATGCAGCACAGGCTGCGGCACTCCTTGTGGTGCATGCAGTGGTCGTGGTTGGGCTGCGAGACAGAGGCCCCTGGACCTCCGCCCTCGGAGAAAGCGGGCAGGTGAGCCCCCTCCCGCCCGCCCCGCCCTCACCTTGAGCCACTGCAGGCACTGGGAGAAGATGGTGCGGGGCGTGCAGAACTTGGAGGGGTTGTAGTTGTTGGTGACGCAGCAGTTGCTCTTGCACTCCTTCTTGTCGGTGCACGAGTAGCCGTTGGGCTGCAGGACGAACGGCCAGGCCTTCCGGCCACCGAGACCCCCCAAGAGGCGGTGCCTTCCTCCCCCCCCCCCCCCCCCCCACTGAGCCCTCGCACCTTCCGCCAGGACAGGCACTGCAGGAAGATGGTCTGGGACGTGCAGAACTTCTGGGGGTTCAGGCTGTTGGTGACGCAGCAATCGGTCTGGCATTCCCGGTTTTCTTCACAGGTGTCCCCGATCCCCTGCGGGGCCCAGGGCGTTGCAGACCCCAAAAGAGCCCCCTTGTTCTCCGCTTCCGTTGGTCCCGCCCGGGTCCCACCGGCCTTCGGACTTATCGAACCTGGCGGGGTTTCTGGAACATTCACAGAGCAGGGAGGGGGGCTGGCCTGGGGCCGCGGACTCAGGGAGAAGGGGGCAACCGTTGTCTGTGTCTATCCTGAGCCCAGTGGACAGAGGGTAAACTGAGGCACGGAGCCGGGAAAGCTCGTGAGTGGCTGAGCCGCAGGGCTGAGCGCCGACCTAGAAACCAGGAGGTCACGTTTCCATTCCCGTGGGGCACAGGCCCGGGCTGTGGGCTCGACCCCCAGTGGGGGGCGTGCAGGGGGCAGCCGGTCAGGGACTCACTCTCATCATTGATGCTTCTCTCTTTCTCTCCCTCCTGCTTCCTTTCTCTGAAATCAATAAAAATATTTTTAAAAAAGAAAAAGAAAAAGAAATCTACTGGCTAAGAGTTAAAGCCGGGATCGCGGCTCTCAGACAAGACCAGCCGCCAGCTTTGGGGTGAGAAGCAGGAGGACTGAGGAGGAACTGACCTTCCAGAGGGTCGCGGGGTCGGGGGGCATCGAGGGAGCGGGCACCGGGCACTGGGGCCAGGCACCCTCTGGAAAAAGGCCAGGGGCCCCCGAGAGCCCGAGAGCAGGCCGAGGGTGGAGGCCTCGCCTGTGCAGGGACTCGGGGGCGTGGACTTACCTTATGGGACAGAACCAGGTGATCTGTCTCTACCGTCACCGAGGACACAGGCCGCGCCCCAAGCAGCAGCAGCGGCAGCAGCAGGCACCCGGCGAGCGCCATTGGGCGGCCGCCTGTCAATGTCGTGTCTGAGGAGCGTCCCCCAGGCACCCTGTGCAGGCACCCACTTCCTCCCCCCCCCCCATCGTTCTCTTACAAAATGTTTTCTTTTAATTAATAGACATGATTTTTCTAGAGCAGCTTTAGGTTTACAGGAAAATTGTGCACAAAGTCCAGAGAGGTTCCTTCTGCTGGCCTTCTGCCTCAGTTTCCCTTGCTGTTAACATCTGACGTTGGTATGGTCTGCTTGTTACAACCGACCGACTGATATCGACCCGTTGTTATCACCCTAAGCCCATAGTGGACATTGGGGTCCCTCTGTGTTGTACATTCTGAGGGTTTGGACAAACATAGGACGCGGTCATCATTTCAGTGTCACACAGACTAGCCTCACTGCCCTGAACGCCCCCTGTCTCCGCTGTCCGTCCCGGCAAACACGGGTCCTTCTTCCGTCCCCATCGCTCTGCCTGGAGTCGGAACCGCAGGTCGTGGCCTTTTCGGATGGGCTCCCGTCACTGAGCAACCGTGTGCATGGAGAGTCCCTCCATTGTTGCAAATTTCTTTTTATTGCCAAATGGAAATAGGTTTTTAACAGCCCATTCCCCAGGGACCACCGGGCCCTTGGTTCGTTTAAACCAGTGATTCCCAAAGTGGGCGCTACCGCCCCCTGGTGGGCGCTGCAGCGATCCAGGGGGGCAGGGATGGCCACAGGTGCCTTTGTTTTAACTTTTTTTGTATTACCTTTCTATTCTGAGTTCAAGAAATAGTTTAATTTCAAACTTCAATGTTTCTAATTTACACCTTTCCTTACTATATTTTACGAAAAAGGTAGAAACATTAATACATATATCTTTCTGTTTAATTGCTATTAAAATTTTAAAAAAATTAATTTCCAGGGGGCACTGAGTAATATTTTTTCTGGAAAGGGGGCGGTAGGCCAGGTAAGTTTGGGAACCACTGGTTTAAACGAGAGCATGTTGTTGCCCGGCCTGTGTGGCTCAGTGGTTGAGCGTTGACCTATGAACCAGGAGGTCACAGTTTGATTCCAGGTTCAGGGCACAGGCCCAGGTTGTGGGCTCGATCCCCAGTGTGGGGCGTGCAGGAGGCAGCCGGTCCATGACTCTCTCTCATCATGGATGCTTCTCTCCCTCCCTCCCTCTCCCTTCCTCTCTGAAGTCAATAAAGACATACATTTTTTGAAAAGTGGTTAAGATGGTAAATGTTTCCCACAATAAGAAAGACGTTACAAGTCCCTCTGCCGGGGCCCCGCCCATGCACAGCCCCTGGCTGTTTGGAAACATTCTTCCATGTATGGTGCCTCTTTTCTGTTTGTTCACAAATCTCTCAGGTCAGACCTCGTTCCAGCTTTTACTGCCCAACATCGATGTCAGGTGTGAGCCACAGCCTCCCAACCTGCCAAGTGAAAGCTAAGACGCAGACTTGGACAGTACAGATCTCTGAACCACAGTGACCACGGTTTTGCTTTTATTTGTTTGTTTGTTTTGTTAATCCTCACCAGAGGATTTTTTTTCCATTGATTAAAAAAAATTTAATATTTTTTTAAAATATTAAAGCTGGGAGGGGGATAGAAACATCGGGAAAATCATTGATCGTTTGCCTCCTGCACGCCCCCTACTGGGGCTCGAGCCCATAACCCGGGCCTGTGCCCAGACTGGAATCGAACCGTGACCTCCTGGTTCATAGGTCGACGTGCAACCACTGAGCCACACCAGCTGGGCTGGTGTGTTTTTTTTTTTATAGAGAGAGTGGAAGGGAGGAAGAGAGATCAATGTGAGAGAGACATATGGATTGGTTGCCTCCCACACATGCCCCGACAGGGTCAGGGATCGATGGGGATGGAACCTATAACCCAGGTACACGCCCTTGACTGGGAATCGAACCTGAGACCCTTCGGTATGTGGGCTGACACTCCAACCACTGAGCACACCGGTCAGGGCACACTGCTACCACTTTCTGAGCATGAACCCCTCCCATCGGGGCACAGGGGGGCTGTCTCAGCCTCATGTCGCTGCTGAGGTGCACCCCTGGCTCAGCACTCAGTGTGGCATTCTTACACAGAGAAACAGACCGTGCGGTGGAGGCGTGAGCTCGGCCATCCCCTGCAGAGGAACTGCCCCAGGAGCTCACACTTGCCCCAGCAACAGCAGCCCTACCTTTTGTCTTGTCCACCTGCTCGGCTGCAGAGAAGAGGGACCAGCCAGCTCGGATGGTGGAGTCACCCAGGGCCGAGCTGTGGCTGAATCACTGGGCCACCTCTCAACCCTCCTTCCTCTGTCCTGCCCCCGCCTTCCACCCGAGAGGGCGTCTTTCATCATCCGCCCAAGAGGCCGGGGGCAATGTCCGGTCCCCTGGACAGGAGACCTCCGGCCCACACAAATCCCCGGGAGGCAACCACATCAATGGCCAGAAGGCCAGTGCTGGCCAGTGACCGAAGCCTCCCTGGTTCTGCCCCATTTCCAACGCAGGACCAGCCTGAGAAGCCAAACCTGCTCCCTGTGAATCGTGTGGCCCCTCCCCACCAGGATCCCCAGTGGCCTGCTCGGCAGTTGATAGGGTGGGGCCGGGGCCAAGCTCTGGGTAGACGGCGTGCTTGTGCTCTTGGAACATTGTTCTCTTGTTTATTTCTGCACAGTGTGTTCATAATAAACATCTACTGACTTATTTGTTATTGGCTGTGTGCCAGGCACTGTGCCAGGCTGTGCAGGGGAACAGGCTGTGACCCCCTTGCCACCTCGAAGCTCCAGGCCTACTTTGGGAAGTGGACCCATCACCAGATAGGTCACAGAGAGAGTGGTGGGTGCCGTTAGGGGTGTGGTGGGGTTGCCCGGAGGGAAGGCCGGGGTGACAGAGGGTAGGTTTTAAGAAAATATATTGTTATTGATTTCAGAGAGGAAGGGAGAAGGAGAGAAACATCAACGATGAGAGAAAGAATCCCACATGCACCCCACCGGGGATGGAGCCTGCAACCCAAGCCTGTGCCCTGACCGGAAATCCAACCGTGACCTCCTGGTTCCTGGGTCGATGCTCAGCCATTGAGCCAGGCTGGCCGGGCATGGAGCATATTTTAAGGAGTGGGGAAGGGGAGATGGGAGAGAGGAGAGAGGTGGAGACTGAAGGGGGGTGAAGCCAGGAGGAGACCTGGGGGTGGGTGGGTTCGGTTTAGCAAGGGCCTCCCAAAGCACCTCCAAACTCCGTGGCGTGGAAGGGCGTTTTACCATCCTCCGGGCTCCACGAGCAGCTGTCACTCAGAGTCGCTGGGCGTGGGCCTCAGATGGCAGCTGGGCCGACTGACCCCGAGGCCTTTTCACCAGCACGTCCAAGGCCAGGACGGCTGGAGCCTGGGGTGGCAACACCCGCCCGCCCGGCTGGCTGCCCCAGAGCCCGTGCCTGAGCCCCAGGAGGACCTGAGAGGCTCTGTGGCCAGCCCAGGAGGCAGGCAGCCTCACGCCCCGCCCCCCCCTCAATCGGCCAGTGGGGTGGGCGGGGGGCGGGCAGGAGAGAGACACGAAGTCACCTGAGCTTGGGCTGAGTGCTTGAGCCGTCAGCTGAAACCCCAGGAGTGGACAGTGTCACCCGGGACAGGGGCAGCGTGTAGGTGAGGAGAGGAGGGGCTGGCCCTGGTTTGGGGTTTCTTTCGGCAGGGGTGAGGAGAAGGAAACGTTCTAAAATTAGATCATGGTGGTGCTGGCAGAGCGCTGTGAATATACCAGCAGCAACACGCTGCACATCCTGAGCTGTGCGGCCTGTTGTATCTCAATAAAGCGCTTTTGGAAAAGGAAATCTAGTTGAACTTTTACCGACAACTTGGTTGACTTTACGTTGTTATTTATAAATGATTTTTTATTCTCTCCTTGCCAGAGAGTAATATTTCCTTTTAACCAAAGGTTTTGGAATTCAATTAACTTATTTGTTTTGCTCGTAAAATGCCTTTTTAAGTAAAGAACCATTATTAGCTGTGGTTACAAATTTGCATTAGGAGGTTCCACTCGATTTCTCGAATTCCCTACCAGCCGGCGGCCAGACGCCTTATCTAATCCTCAGTGCGGTTTGTTCGCTCCCAAAACCAATCCAGCGCCGACTGCACCCTGGATTTGGGGAGCTCCTGGCGTTATAGTGGGTGGAGCCTCGTAAACAAAGCTACCCTGTCAGGGACGCTCTTAAGCCCTCCTGTGGTCCAACCCATATCCCTAAGGACACAGGTAGAAAATCCATCTCAGACGATGAAAGAAATTAAATTCTTGGGCAAACTTGAGCTTCTATCTTTTCTTCCTAGAAAAGATAAGGAGAAAACTCTAGTGTACTCAAGAGAGGAAATGCCTGCAGGCGGCCGGCAGGGCGGCGCTCCGCCCCCGAAAGACGACGTGGTGCGCGTTTCTGTCACAGGCATTCAGACTTTTAACCCAGCTTTTCAGGCGTGAACCTCCTTGTGTTGTTAATCCTCCTCAGAGGGTATTCTTCCACTGATTTTTAGAGAGAGTGGGAGGGAGGGAGGGAGGGAGGGAGGAGAGAAAAAGATGGTGGTTGGGTGGTTGCCTCCTGGGGTGGGGATGGAACCTGCAACCCTGGTCCGTGCCCTTGACCGGAATGAAGCCCAAGACCCTTCGGTGTGGGCCGATGCTCTGACCACTGAGCCACCAGCCAGGGCAGCGTGGTGTTTTTATTTATTATTAAATATATTTGTATTGATTTCAGAGAGGGAGGGAGGAGAGAGAGAAACATCAATGATGAGAGTCATGGACCGGCTGCCTCCTGCACGCCCCCTGCTGGGGATCGAGCCCGCAACCCGGGCCTGTGCGCTTGACCCAATCGAACCCGGGACCCTTCAGTCCCAGGCCGACTCTACCCACTGAGCCACCGGCCGGGCGCGTCTTGCATTAGGAAGGATGGCCCTTGAGCTCCGTGCTCACTGCGCAGCGGACGCCGGTGGAGACGCGGAGGGGGCGGGTGCTGCCCTCGTCCTGCGCCCCAGCCTCCAACCCCAG